GTAAGAATCTTAAAGTGTACTATATCAAGGAACAGTCTACTAAATTGCAGGGCATCTGAGGTTAGTAAGATAACTGTGAAGATGGTCTTAAACTTTAGAAATGAGTAGGGGTTAAGCAGTTGTGGAACTGCCTTCTTGCAGGGTAAAAATTGTCAGCATTTTTTTGTTTTCAGAAAGACTAATATAATTGTTCTTCAGATGGTAGTTACTTCAAGTTAAGACGTGGAACATAATTCCTTTTTCAGGTTTTTCACAAAAGAGAGTGTGAACAGGGAAATCTGAAGAACAAACTTTTTCTTGAGAAGTTATAAATAGGCACTAATATATACTATTTGAGAAAAATGTAGCTACTGTAGTAATAAAGGTTTTGACAGCCAGCTAATTCAAAGCATCAGAAAACTTTACACTCTGGATCTCTCTATATATGACCCAGCAGATTTTTCTTAGAATTTTCTTAGAATTGAAGTCCATATTCTGATGAGGCCTAAAGCTAAATTATGGTTAAAATAAGCAAGGATTAAATATAGTGCCACTCCTTACTTTAACCAGAAAATAGCTTTAGGCCTGAGCAGAATATGAACTTTAATAAAAGTGTTTGGGTAAAAGTTCTCTGGGGATTGATGGAGATAGATAGATAAATAATTTATAATAATATGGGTGAATATATGTTATATTTTTTTAAAGATTTATTTATTTTAGAGCACACAAGCAGGGGGAAGGGCAAAAGGAGAGGGAGAGAAACTCAAGCAGACTCCCTGCTGAGCACAGAGCCTGATGCGGGGCTTGATCTCACCACCCTGAGATGACTTGAGCCAAAATCAAGAGTTGGCTGTTTAACCGACCGAGTCACCCAGGCACCCCATATTGTTAGGTATAAGACACAGACACACTAATATAATGGAACACTTAAGATCTGTGTGTTTCATTGTACGTATATTTGGGAGGGAGGGGAATATTGTAAACAAATATTAAACTGTAGTTAATGCTATGCATGCTAAAGTGGTTTAAAGGGGTGAAGTGTATGGATGTCTGCTACTTTAAATTTATCAGAATATAAAATGGATTGATAGAAGGATTTGTTGATAGATACATGATAAAGCAATTACTGTAAAACAATTGTAAAATCTAGGTAATGGTTATGTGGATGTTTACTGTACAATTCTTACAACTTTTTTGTATATTTGAAATTTTGCATAATAAAAAGTTGGAAAAAATAGTGTTAATGATAAGGTACTTAAGTCTACATAGGTCTAGTTTGGTACAGTCAACAATTATTGACACCTACAGTATGCCAAAGTGCTATAACTGGCATTAGGATTATATGATAGTGAAATGACTCAGACACTCTTAGGTGGTGAGTAGCAGGAGATGAAATTGGAGAGAAAGGCATTATTAGGTAATGGAGAGTTTTATATACCATAATAAAAAGCTTAGACTTTATCCTATGGCATTTTAGGCAGGGGAATGATAGGTAGATCACTCTCACAGCTTTGTGGAGGCAAGATTTGAGGTAGGGGTGGCAGTGATGGGGATAGACTAAAGATGAGGATAGTAATTAGGAAGTAGTATTCCAGATGAAGATGATTAAAACCTGAATTATAGCAGGGCTAGATTCTAGAAATATGTAGGAGCAATAATCAATAGAGCAATAATTAATAGAATAGATTTGTTTTATTAGTTGTGAGTAGGTTATAGGGAATCAAGAGTGACAAATACCATATAAGAGAAGGAGCAGGTTTGGGTCTGGAGGGTAAAACAGTGAGTTTGGGTTTCAGATAATGTTAAAATAACCATGGATGAAATCATTCATGCTAAACCCCACATCAGCAAAGCAGAACCTAAGTTTCTATGCGTGGCCTTCCCAGAAAAGGAAGGCCTAGGTCAACTAGTTAGTGCTTGCCTACTTACACAAGTTACCTAACCCTGCCCCAAAATTTCCCTTTGCTTCATATAAGGAAAGTAACCCTGCTTTAACCAATTAGCAAATGCCCAGAATAACTTCCTTGTTCCTGTTCTCTTTATGCTGTAAATATCTCTTGCCTTGAGGCACCTAGGTGGCTCAGTCAGTTGAATGTTCGACTGGGTTTCAGCTCAGGTTGTGATCTCATGGGTCCTGGGATTGAGCCCTGAGTCAGGCTCAGCACTCATAGGAGAGTCTGTTTGAAGATTCTCTCCCTCTGCCCCTCCCCCTACTCATGCTCACTCTCTCTCTCTCTGAAATAAATTAATTTAAAAGAATCTCTTGCCTTGTACAGTTTTTTGGACTTCCTTTCTTTTTTTTTTTTAAGATTTTATTTATTTATTCAGAGAGACAGAGAGAGAGAGGCAGAGGGAGAAGCAGGGAGCCCAATATGGGACTCAATCCCAGGACCCTGAGATCAGGACCTGAGCTGAAGGCAGATGCTTGACCAACTGAGCCACCCAGGCGCCCCTGGACTTCCTTTCTGTCTGCCAGATTGGATGCTGCTTGATTCATGAATCATTTAAATAAAAGCTTACTAGGTCAGTAAATTGTAGAAATTTTTCTTTTAACAGATATTATCTACTCAAAGCGATATTTATTCATTCATTTGTATTTAACGGTATTTGACAAATACTACTACAGAATTCCATACCTGCTGCTAATAAGATGGTGGGCAAAAGGGACACAAATATTGCCTTTAAGAACCTTATCGTATAGTGGGAGAGAGAATTAAATGAGAAGGTATAATAAAAAGTGACATTTATGGTGGTAGGAGAAGCACAGGATGCTATGGAACTTCACAGAAGGGACAACTAACAGTCTGGCAGTGGCTCTGCAGGAATAGGATATATCAGTCTGAAACTTGGGATGGAGTCTGGGCTGGATACAGCAATTATGGCTCTCTGCTATTGATTCCTGAGAGTTGATAAAAACGTCAAGGGATAATAGTATAGAATTGTTAAAGAAGAAAAATGAAGGGGGTGGAAATCAGAGGGGGAGATGAACCATGAGAGACTATGGACTCTGAGAAACAAACTGAGCGTTCTAGAGGGGAGGGGGGTGGGGGGATGGGTTAGCCTGGTGATGGGTATTAAAGAGGGCACATACTGAATGGAGCACTGGGTGTTATATGCAAACAATGAATCATGGAACACTACATCAAAAACTAATGATGTAATGTATGGTGATAAACATGACATAATAAAATAAAATTAAAAAAAAACTAAAAAAAAAAGAAGAAGAAAAGGCTAAAGGCAAGTAAAAAGCCAGAGAAGGAGATAGAAACGAAATAGCAAGGTAGAAGAACTAATTGAGTGTGGTGTAATGGAAACTGAATGTTTCAAGATGAAGAGCGTAGTCAGTAGTGTTAGTATAGAAAGTTCTGATGAGTTAAATAGTAATAATTGGTTTGGCAATTTGGAGGTCATTGGTGACTAAGTGGAAGTAGTTTCAGTTAAGAGATGTTTAGTTAAAAGTAAAAAAATTTTAATATCTTTAAGATATTAAGATATAAAGAGCTACAAGACAAAACACAAGGAAATGAAATAAAACTTTTATCTTAATTTTAAATTGGAAACATCAGTTACATATTTATTAAAAGAAAAAAGTTTTATTTGTATTCACTGAAGAAGTCTAAAAGTTAAAAACTCTAGAGAAAATAATAGAAATGGAGAAATAGTAGGTTCCACATTTAAAGCAGGGAATATATGAGTCTGGGACATCTTGTATCATAAAAGTAAAGCAGCTGCCAAAGCCGAATTAGTCCATATCAAAGGACAAAGGAGCCAACATGGAGACAATTGGCACATCAAAACTGATAATGACTACAGGGGATTGAGACACATCAAGCACCTAAAAATCCATGAGTTCTTAGATTTTAATTTCCCTCTTTCTCTTTTTTATTGGGTGTATGGAGGTTGTTGGGCCACCAACTCATTACTTTAAACCAGGGATCAGAAAACTATGGCCTATGGCCCATGGCCCCAGTCCAGTCCAATCCCTATTGTAAGGCTGTGAGCCAAGAAGAGTTTCATAATGAATCTGTAATCCACTGTGAATTTTTAATAAAATTATGAGATCTTCTCTGACACATAACCTTTTTGAAATTGGTATAATAGGGCATGGATACTTCCTCAAAATGAACTTAGATATGTTAATGGCAGAATATGGAGACGGTCCCCACATGCATTACTTATAAAAATTATACATAAAAATAGTAAAAATGAATTGGATGGACTTGTCACTTTTATAAACCTTTTATCTTTAAACTTAATTTTGGTGAAATCTTGGCATTTGCAACTATATGGATGGAGCTAAAGTGTATTATGCTAAAATAAGTCAGACAAAGACAAATACCATGTGATCTCATTCATGTGAAATTTAAGGCAGAAAACAGATGAACATAAGGGAAGGGGGGGAAAACAAAAGGAGAGAGGGAAACAAGCCATAAGAAACTCTTAACGATAGAGAACAAACTGAGGGTTGATAAAAGGGGGGGGAAATGGGCCAGATGGGTGATGGGTATTAAAGAGGACACTTGTTGTGGTGAGCACTGGGTGTTGTATGTAAGTGATTAATCACTGAATTCTACTCCAGAAACCAATATTGCACTGTATGTTAACTAAGTAAAATTTAAATAAAAAATAAACTTTTAATTTTGGATAGTTTCAAACATAGAGTAGAGAAAATGGTTTATGTAAACTGCTATTTTACCCATCACCCATCTTCATCAATTATCAACTCATGGTAACTTAAATTCATGTATATCCCTCCTTCTTTCTCCCCACTGGATTATTACGAAGCAAATTCCACATATGTAATTTCATTTGTACATATTCCATTATGTACAATTTTATTTTTCAAAAATAACTAATATTATAACCTTGGAATACTGAAAAGCTGAATAGTTATTTAGAAAAATGTTTTCCAGGTAATGTATACCAGTAGGCATCTTTTTCTGAGTTCACAATAATCACATATACTATGCTTTTCTCTTGGAGTTTAATTGTGTAATAAACATTAAGAGGAAGTGTTTTACCTGTTCTATGCAGTCTTCTCTCATTTCTCCTTTAAAAATAAAATATCACAACATTAATTATCTTAACAGAACCTTTTAATATAGCCTTAGTAGAAAGAGAAATACTTAAAATAATCCTAATTTAAACAAGTTGAAATACTGAAAACTGAAGAGACAGCAATAGCCAAAACTCAAAAAGTATGAAAGTACCAGTGATTCTCATACATAACCTTTAGGGCTCATATCTTCACTGAAGCCAAATGAGTAGACTATGCCTACATTGCTCCTTCTGTTCTTAAAATGATACCTTAAAACTTGCATGGCAAGTAAGTTTCATCTAAGTGCCAATTCTAGTTGATAAGTGGTGGTTACCTACAGAATTGTGCTGAGAACTTTTATAAGGCCTTTTTTTTTTTTTTTTCTTCTCAATGGGAAAGAATACTGTATTTGATTGTGGGTTATTTGCTCTCATAGCAACAAATTATCTGCTAGCCCTGGTTTAGTATATCAAATGATGCTTTTAAAAGAGACATCTTTGCTTAAATTTATATGCTATTAGGCTGAGAGAAAAGCTATGTGATAGTGCTACAGTCTAATTTCTCATTATTGATAGATACTAGGTAGACATTAATTTACATATTCTCATCCTTGAAACAAGTAATTGCGTATAACTGGTGGGTATTTATAAGTACCAGTTACGTGTTTCTCTTATAGCACTTAGTGCTTGCATGCATATACCACTCATTTGGCACTATGCTTATGTTAACTTATTATTTACTTCCTTTATTTATTTAGTCTACCTTCCCAAGTAGATTGTTTTCTAAAGCTTATCAGCAGCATCTTATATTCCTCCCTGTAGTCTTAGCACCAAGAAATGCCTTGATGACAATTGTGCTTCTATAAAAATACATGTTACTTGTCTGTCATTAACTCAAAATTACTTGCTATTTTGGGATATTTTTGTATAGACTGGGATGCTTTGTTTAGCTATATAGTTCAAAAATTGCATAACACTTATGATATGGAATCATGCTGTGAAATCTGGATTGTAATGCTTTCATAGGACATCTGAATTTTTAAGATAGTAGATGGCCCTTGCCTTTAGGTAGATAAAAGTATAAATCCTACAGTAAGATGGTTATTCTCTTGAAGATCTCTAGGAATGTAAAAGTTAAGTCTCTCTTAGAAACTTGTTCAACATTCTCTCTTCCCAGTAGTCAATAAATTATTCTTATGACTAAACAAAACTAAACACAAAAAACAAACCCTACCCTGCTTGAATTTATGTTTTTTAATCTTCCTTAGACTTTAAAAACAGCACAGGGTACTTCGTGTAGTGTTAAATAGAAATTGTTATGTCTGTAATCTTGACATTTTTCAAGCTAAACAACTTTTCAAAACTATTAAAAATAGACACTGAGTTTCACCATGTTAGTCATTATCAATCTTCCTTGAATCCATGCCAATTTTTTCATGTAAAGGAAATTAACTTTCATGACAGAAGGGTTAAGATCTAAGATCTAGATTCTAGAAGGACATCTAAGGGGATTGGTGTAATGAAGTGATTGCTTCTGACTCTGGTATGTTACAGTCTTTTAAATATATACCACTGCTGTTTATTTTTCTCATAAAAGCCAGTGGTTACTGCTTCATTTAGTTTCTTGTCAACTGTAACAGTCCCCATCTCTTAACTATATTTGTCTTAGTCACGATGACAGGCCCCATTAGGTAAAGAAAGGGCCAGACAGTAAATATTTTAGGCTTTGCAGGCCAAGAGGCAAAACTGAAGATATTATGTAAGTTCTATTAAGTTTTTATTGATAAAATTTAAATTACAATTGAGTATTTTGTGTGATACATATCTAATGGGAATGTGGGGATAGCATTTAATTGGGGTTCAAAGTTAGTGTTTTATCAAACTCAACTGCAAATGTTCTGTTAATGCTGATCTTGGTATATATTTTGTATATTTCACCTTTGAAAATGCCCTTTCAAACGGGTAGGTACTACCAAATACTGATACCAGTCTATGAACAGCATCATATTTTATAGAATTCTGTTAGATTCTTCTCTTGATGTTGGCCTTTTAGCATGTTATTACATTGCAGATTAATCATTGCTGGTTCTGGGAAGCCCCTCAATTGCACAGTTGATGGATTTTGAAATAGGGACATTTACTTGGCATTCGTGTTTAGGTCTGAAAAATGCTGCTGGAATTAGGGGGGCCAGTTGTTCTGATATTCTGGGACTGAGTGGTTTCCCAGGATTTGGGACTCAAAGTGCTAAAATTGGGACTTTGTTACCCTTACTAGAACTTAGTTTGAGATCAGAAAACAGATCTACTTCAGATTTATGTGGGAATACAGATCTCATTTCTTTTTTTAGTTCTTGACAACCCAACTTGACATTACTTTATAATTCAAACAACATTAATAGCTTTACTTCGGTAAAAATTTCACATATAGTACTGTTTTGCCTTGTAATTTTAGGTTCAGTTCATCAAGAAACATCAAATTTGAAACAAAAGATGATTTCAAAAAGCCATTCAATTTGATAATAGTGGTCAGTGGTGGTTCTCATTCAGAAAAATTTCAGTCTCAGCATAGACCTAAAAAAAAACGCCACTCCTTTTACCACTGCTAAGTTTTTGAACTTCTGGATAGAAGGGCAAGTCAGGATATTCAGCTTCTATTTTTGACAAAAATTCACAAAACTGAAAGTGGTGAAACTCACAGGAGTGAATGAAGTTCACCTTTGACATTTTCGGTTCAGTAACATATGATGTATTTACATATTTTCTGCAAAGTAACTGTTGGTTGAGTAATATATTTAAACATCTAAAATTTTTAAATTAATTTTATTTTAATAATAGATTTAAACACCTTAACTTTTTTTTTAACACCTTAACTTTTTTTAAACACCTTAAAAAAAAATATTTATTTATTTGACGGAGAGAGCGAGCTCAAGCAGGGGGAGCAGCAGGCAGAGGGAGAGGGAGAAGCAGGCTCCCCGAGGAGCAGGGAGCCTGATGCAGGGCTCAATCCCAGGACCCTGGGATCATGACCTGAGTCCAAGGCAGCAGCTTAACGACTGAGCCACCCAGGTACTCTTTTAAACACCTTTTTATAAGCTTCGTAAATTTGTCTTTTTTCCCCTCCACATATTTATCATAATCAGTTGATTATGCACATCTTAGTAGATTCCACTTTAGGTTGAAATGAATTAGAGTTTTCTCAACTTTGAAAATATTCTTACCTGAAGTTGTTTTACACAGACTGTTCATAGAGGCTAATTCGCCAGTTACTTCAAACTTGGCATTGACTCCTCAAATTAAGAAAAAGAAAAAGTTGAACAGTGTACATCTGTTGACAACAGAAAACCACTTTAAATCATCTTCCTTTTTTTGTCTTGCTTTTAAATAAACTATTAATGTTGCTCCCAGTGTCCTCAACTTTTTAAGCAAATGTACTTGCCTAATGGCCAAAAGTCTTAAGTTTGTTTTCTCTGGACACATTTCTTCATCTTCTACAGTCAAACATGGTTTAATTAACTCACCATCAGTGAATGGCTTTCCTTGCTTGGTTAACAAATGAGCCACTCAGAAACTTACTTTGGTCATACTTCATGTTTATTTTCTGTTAGTGAAGAAATTCTCCTATGATGAGACACTTTATAAATTTTCTACTTTTTCTCACTGTTGCTTGCCTGTGGGCAGGGGATACTACGATGAGTCCTTTGTTTGGTAATATTGCTGTATATTGGATTCTTTTGAGCATAGCTATAGTATCATTACATTATAAACACAATGCTTTGCTTTTAATTCAATAACAAAACCACACTCGACTGTGCCTCAAAAGTGTGACATTGTAAGTCCAATTTTCTTTCCTTATTTTGATAAGATGGGTATGCACTGGTAATAAAAATTAAAAGTTGTGGTGTGGCAATATGTGTGGCACTTGAAATGCTGTGCACCTATAACCATGTCACTACAATTGGCTGTGTGCCGAACAGCCAGGTAATGCGCTGATTTAATCAGTTCTGTCACTGTAGCATGAAAATAGCCATAAACAATATGGAAAAGAATGAGCATGGCTGTGCTCCAATAAAACTTTATTTGCAGACATTGAAATTGAATTTCATATAATCTTCATGTGTCACAAAATTCTGACTTTTTCCAAAGTTCTTTTGACTTTTTCCAAACCATTTAAAATGTAAAACCATTCTAGTTGTGGGCTCTACAAAAACAAGTGACATATGGGCTGTACTTTGTGCATCTCTAGTCTAGATAGCTTTTTTCAAACTATGTAATATTACTTATATTTTTAAACCCTTATATTCATTTCTATCAATTTTCCCTTTTTCATGTCATTTTAAAATTTATTTCTACTTAAATAAAAAAACTGAGTGAGGGCACCTGGGTGGCTCAGTCATTAAGCATCTACCTTCAGCTCAGGTCATGATTCCAGGGTCCTGGGATCGAGCCCCGCATCAGGCTCCCTGCTCAGCGGGAAGCCTGCTTCTCCTTCTCCCAATCCCCCTGCTTGTGTTCCCTCTCTCACTGTCTCTCTGTCAAATAAATAAATAAAAATTTTTTAAAAAGTTAAAAAAACCTGAGTGATAGTTATTCTTTAAATGGAGGATAACTAACTTTAGCATAGCACCTAAAATACTCAGCAGAATGCCTGGCACATTGTAAATGCTCAATGATTGTTTGCTTTACTGTTGACATTCTTACTGAGATTGGCCCCTGATAGTGGTAGAGAGGTGTTTAAGATTAAAGAAGGAAGAAAAGAAGGAAAGAGGAAAGAAAGGAAAGGAAGGAAAGAAAGGAAAGGAAGGAAGGGAAAGGAAAGAAGGAAGGGAAAGGAAAGAAGGAAAGGAAGAAAGAAGAGGAAGGAGAGATGCTTTCTACACACACACACACACACACACGTACACCCACACACACTTTCTAGCTTGCTTTGGAATACAGGACACAAAATCATGAGCCCTTTAAAATTGGGGTATGAGGATTATATCTATAACTTAACCATGTAGACTGTGATAGAAATAAACTAAATTGATAGGATGAGAATTGCTTTCCAGAAAAGCCTTGCTGGTTGTATCCTCGTCTCATGAGTTTTATAGGAAAGATGCTAAATTATTGAATAATTTCTTTCCATACCTGATCAAGAAAATTGTCCATGTTAATCTGACCTCTGTGATGCTTTTTTAAAAACAGAAACACTTGTGATCATTAGCCATTGTTTTAAATCCCTTACAGTGCATATCCATTAGGTCTTTCTGACTTGAACATATCCAGTGTTTCTGTTATTTCACCACAGATTTATTATATGAGCTTCCTCCCTAAGTTTAATGGGGCATTATTCTTAGACCAGTATTTCTCGAAGTATGGGATGAAGACTAATAACTGATCTGCAAAATATTTTTGGATGGTTAACTGTTTATTATTTGTGATAGAAAAAAATTAGTAGAAACAATTAAAAACTTTTATGGCACTTTGACAGGATAATTCTATGTATGCTTAACAAAAATTTGGGTATTTTTATTTTTAAAATTTTAATACATTTAAAAAGATGATATAATTGGCATATAACATTATATTAGTTTTAGGTGTACAACAAGATGATATGATATATTGTGAAATGATCACCACAGTATGTCTAGTTAACATCTAATACCGGTTACGACTTTTTCTTGTGATGAGAATTTTTAATATGCATTTTCTTAACACCTTTCAGAAATACAATACAGTATTATTGACTATAGTTATCATGGTGTACATTATATCCTTATGACTTATTTATTTTATAAATGGGAGTTTCTTTTTTTATTTTAAAGATTTTATTTATTTGCCAGAGAGTGAGAGAGAGAAATAAGAGAGCAAGCACAAGCAGGGGGAGCAGTAGGCAGAGGGAGAAGCAGGCTCCCCACTGAGCAAGGACCCCGATGCGGGACTTCATCCCAGGACCCTGGGATCATGACCTGAGCTGAAGGCAGATGCTTAACCAACTGAGCCACCCATGCATCGCTTAATGGAAGTTTCTACCTTTTGATCATCTTCACCCATTTCTCCCACCACCCCCATCTCTGGAAAACACTAATGTCTTTTTTGTCTATAGGAGTTTAGGTTTTTTGTTTTGTTTTTTAAGATTCCACATGAGTGAGATCATATGGTATCTGTCTTTCTCTGGCCGACTTATTTCACTTAGTATAATGACCTCAGGGTCCATCCATGTTGTCCCAAATGACAGGTTTTCCTTGATTTTTATGGCTGAATAATATTCCCTTGTGTATTTATACCACATTTTATTTTTTCAACCATTGATGGACACTTAGGTTGTTTCCGTGTATTGGCTGTTGTGAATAATGCTGCAGTTAACATGGGAGTACAAATACCTTTTCAAGTTAGTGTTTTTGTTTGCTTTGGACAGATACACAGAAGTCAAATTGCTGGTTCAAACAGTAGTTCTATTTTTAATTTTTTGAAGAATCTCCGTCTTGTTTTCCATAGTGTACATTCATACCAGCAGTGCACAAGGGTTCCTTTTCCTCCACATCCTTGCCAACCGTTATTGTTTCTTGTCTTTTTGCTAATAACCATTCTCACAGGCATGAGGTGATATCTCACTGAGGTTTTGATTTGCATTTCTTTAATGATTACTGATGTTGAGTACCTTTTCATATACCTGTTGGATATCTGTATGTTATCTTTAGAAAAATGTCTACTTAGATCTTGTGTCCATTTTTTAATTGGGTTGTTTGTTTGGTATTGAGTTGTTGAGTTCTTTATATATTTTGGATATTAACCTCTTATTAGATACATGATTTGTAAATATTTTCTCCCATTCAGGAGATTGTCTTTTCATTTTGGTGATGGTTTCCTTTGCTGTGCAGAAGCTTTTTAGTTTGATGTAGTCCCACTTACTTATTTTTGTCTTTGTTGCCTTTGCTTTTAGTGTCAGATCCAAAAAATTGGCTCCAAGATAGATGTTTTATGGCACTCATTGCTTGTATTTTCTTTCTTTCTTTCTTTCTTTTTTTTTTAAGATTTTATTTATTTATTTGACAGACAGCGAGAGAGGGAACACAAGGAGGGGGAGTGGGAGAGGGAGAAGCAGGGTTCCCGCTGAGCAGGGAGCCTAACGCAGGGCTCGATCCCAGGACCTTGGGATCCTGACCTGAGCTGAAGGCAGACGCTTAATGATTGTGCCACCCAGGTGCCCCATCATTGCCTGTATTTTCTTAAGGTGTTTTACAGTGTCAGGTTTTATGTTCAGGTCCTTAATCCATTTTAGGTTATTTTGTGCATATAAGATAGTGGCCTAGTTTCATTCTTTTATATGTAGCTGTGACAGTTTTTCCAGCACCATTTATTGAAGAGACTGTCTTTTCCCCTTTGTATATTTTTGTACCCAGTGTTGTAAATTATTATTTTTTAAAAGATTTTATTTTTATTTATTTGAGAGAGAGAGAATGAGAGACAGAGAGCATGAGAGGGAGGAGGGTCAGAGGGAGCAGCAGACTCCCTGCCAAGCAGGGAGCCCGATGCGGGGCTTGATCTCGGGACTCCAGGATCATGACCTGAGCCGAAGGCAGTCGCTTAACCAACTGAGCCACCCAGGCACCCCCCCAGTGTTGTAAATTAATTGACCATATTTAGGTTTAATTCTGGGCTATTATTTTCCATTGATCTGTGTGTCTGTTTTTTATGCCAATATCATACTGTTTTGATTACCATAGCTTTGTAATACAGTTTGAAATCAGGAAGTGTGATACCTCCAGCTTGGTTCTTCTTTTTTAAGACTGTTTTGGCTATTTGGGGTCTTTTGTACTTCCATACAAATTTTAGGATTGTTTATTCTTTTTCTGTGAAAAATGCCTTTATAATTCTGAAAGGGATTGCATTAAATTGTAGATTCCTTTGAGTAGTATGGACATATTAACAATATACTTCCAATCTGATCGTGGTTTATCTTTCAGTTTATTTGTGTCACCTTTAATCTTTCATCAATGCCTTATGGTTTTCAGTGTGCATGTCTTTCACTGCCTTGGTTAAATTTATTCCTAGGTATTTTATACTTTTTGATGCAGTTGTAAATCAGATTGTTTTATTTCTTTTTCTCATAGTTCAATATTAGTGTATAAAAACACAACAGATTTTTGTATATGGATTTTATCCTACAACTTTAATGAACTTGTTTATTCTAACAGCTTTTTGGTGGAGTCTAGGTTTTCTGTATCCTGTCATCCGCACATAGTGACAGTTTTAGTTCTTCCTTTTCAATTTGGATACCTTTTACTTATTTATTTTTCTTGCCTAA